TCACAATCTGAGCATTTTACAAGCAATGGTTAATTGGAACTAGATGAATACAGAAGTTGTCAAGTGCTTATAATGATACTCAAAAGCAAAGTTAATATAATTGTGTTAAAATGCAGTCGTATAATAAAAGGATGAATCCAACATGGTATGTATAACTCACTATTGATCATAAAAGGTAATATATACATATTTCTTGCTAAGTATGTATATAGGTACATATGTACCCATATGTGTATATATGTATTTGTTCCTGCTTAATCATGAAGGAATAAACACAAGGGTACTTGGCAAGTCAAGTAATTCTGGAAAAAGTTGGAATCATATCAAGAAATAGGAAGAACTGAATGGTTACTCAGACAGAGTAGAAAGATGGACCAAGAGTTAATCGGGTCTAATGATCACATATAATAATAATAACAACTAAGGAGAAGGAGGATTCAACAGTGTGTTTCAAACTGATTAAGCAGCCAGATGTTCTACGGTGAAAAACCAACTACAAAAACTGCATTCTTCAGGAAGAAGGAGCTGGATGGCCTTATTCATTATACTAATAAGGCATATAAAGGTTTTAAATAATGTTAGTCAACAAGATCATTACACATTACAATGACAGGACAATGGTCAGATGGTTTGGGGAAAGTTCAAGTCTCAAAAATTAGAAATCAATGCAAAAAGGTCTTAAAATACCTATCATATAACAATCACATAACAAGTGATATTCTGTCATAAAAGGAGACCAAAGAAAAGCAATTTGGTCTTATGGATAACCTGACCAAGGATCAGCCAATTGCTAGTGCATATGCTGCAATTTAGTTTAAGACAGTATTCTTATTTGGGGTTTGGTAAGATTACTAAAACTTCAGGAAGGTATAAAAACAACCTAAACCTAGGAACATATGGAAGACTGGAACTCTGGGAAATTGTTCAAATAAGGATAAGAAAAAAATTAAATCCATCTTATGATTGGCTCTGGTATATTCATTGTGACATTCTAGGTATGTGTTTTCTGTTTCTTAAAGTGTTTAACGCATGTAATACAATCTGATATTTTGGTCCTGTGATTTTAATGAAACATTTAGATACATTTACATCTGAAGTCAGTGTTTAAAAGAGTAGAAATACCTAATTTTAAAAATTCTTAAGTTTATTAGTTGGAAATCTGTGAATAAGTAGAGGAATGCTGTTTAAATAATGTCAGTTGGTTTGTTACATAAATTGAATATTAACCAAAATACAAATTTTATTTTATTTTATTTTGAGTTGGAGTCTCACTCTGTCACCCAGACTGGAGTGCAGTGGCTGCTCACGGCCACTGCAGCCTCGACCTGCTGGGCTCCAGTGATCCTTCTGCCTCAGGCTTCCAAGCAGCTGGAACTACAGGTGCACACTACCACGCCTGACTAATTTTTTGATTTATTGTAGAGATGAGGTCTCGTCAAGTTGCCCAGGTGGGTCTCGAACCCGCGGGCTCAGGCAATCCACTCACCTCAGCCTCCCAAAGTGCGGGATTACAGACTGAGCCACTGAGCCTGGCTTCAAAATACAAATTTTAATGAGTATATTCTCCATGCTAACAAGTCCTTTGGACATTAAAAAAAATCAACCAACTGGATGATCTTTTAATAATACTCTGAGGTTATGTGAAATAGAGTCAGAGAGATTTTGGTGTTGAGTAGCAATCTCTTATTTTATTCAAGTTCATGTGTTTGCCAAATGTTTTCATAAAGGACTGTTCCAGGTACTGCTTGTATCTACTGGATTAGGAGGAAGATGACTCATGTTATAGTGACACTTAAGCCTGAGAAACCCTGAATGAGTCATTTATTATTATGTATAGCTTAAGTATCTCTTCTAATAAGAGAAGAACAATTACACCTGGTTGGATGGACCAAATAAACTAATATATGTGAAAAGGTAATGTACTGCCTTCCTAGATAGAAGTCATACTTCCTGGATAGAAGTAGGTTTTGAAATTAATACTGCTCTTCTGGCTCCCCTAGTCTAAGTAGCAGTATTTTGATGTGATTAATATATTTAGGATATACTTTTTAACTTGGAACATTTTGAAGAGAACGAAGGACAGTATGAGAATAAATCCATACCATAATGACATAGCTTACTGTACAATTAACATAATTATTTATGACCCTAAGGAATATATAATAGTATTCTAACTTACGGTTCCTATTTATGAAGAATTGGTATAAATCCTTGGCTATCTGTGGTCTGGTTCAGTCCAGACACCTCTTTTCTGGGACTAAGCTCTGCTTATCCTTTTCTGAAAAATCCTACATTTTTCATCTTTTTCCCCTATGGTGAGATACTGCTGCATATGGGAGCCCTTAGAATTCTTTGTGGACTATTTCCGCCCCACCCCCATTGAAAAATTAAGCTTTGATCAAAAGCTTACCAATAATAATTAATCATTACTTTGAATACATACTTCTGCGGTCTGAGATTTCACCTTAGCTACTCTCTCCCTTCCTAAAATGTGAGTACCCTGTACTCTGCCTCATAATGAATGTTAAATGAATGTTAAATGCAGCTCCTTTTGGTGACGATACTTCCAGAATTGGTTTGCCTTGAAAATGAATCCCTACTGCACAATATTTGAACAAAATACTATTAGAAATCTTCCCTGACTACAGTAACTTGAGGTTTATTTATTTAGTTAGTTTTTAGAGATGAGATTCTCATTGTCACCCAGGCTGAGGTGCAGTGGTGAAATCATGGCTTACTGGAACCCCGACCTTCTGGGCTCAAGCAATCCTCCTTAGCAGCTGAGACTACAGATGTGCACCACCATGTCCAGCTGATTTATTTTAGTTTAAGAGATGTGGTCTTGCTATGTTGACCAGGTTGGTTTTGAACTCCTGGTCTCAAGCAATTCTCTCACCTCACTCAGCCTCCAAAAGCACTGGGATTTCAGGTATGAGCTACCCTGGTAGCCCAACTTAAGGTTTTATTAACTATTTCACACCCACTATTGTGTGGTACATAAATGCACTTTGAACAGTTTAACATGTGATGAAATGAATTACTTTCTTAGTTTTTAGTGCTTTAATTTTTAAAAGTATTTAAATCACTTAAGCTTTGGCTGAAGGCCTATAAATTCAGTCCTTTAACAGGAAAAAAAAAAAAAATCAGGGAAGACTCAAGCTGGGAAATACGTTAGAAGAAGGGTGAGAAAGTAAGAAGACTACACTCCTACTTAGCCTCGTGGTTTCTTCAGCCATGACCACGAGGACCAAGAGAAAGTCAGTAAACCAAGAAAGTGAAGCATCCTTATATTTACAGCAATTCATGGTTTATGACAGTTTCGTTTATAATGATTTATGGTATCAATGTGACTTCTGTCAAACAAGGCAGTGATCATCAAAATCAAATTAAATCACTTTAAGTTCGTTTTGGAAAAAAGTGTTACATAAATATATCCCAATACATAAAACGAATGATTAAGCCAATTGGAGTACTTCTTTAGTTATTTATATAGGCTAGTAAAGCTCTTCCCTGGCTCTTAACCTCAATATGGCACCATGATACACCCTCTGGTGCAGTTCCCTACTCTTGCATCTTCTGCAGTGATGCATGGTAGTGCTTCAGACTCTGTCATTATATTTTTTAAAAACCCTCCTAGTCAAACCTAAAAATACAGCATAAATAGCAATTTTATGTAAAAAAAAAAAAAAAAAAAAATCCATGATTGTCTCAGGGAAATTTAAAGCTAAAATAACAGAATAGAAAAACAGGCTTCTCTGAATCAATTTTTCAGTTTATCAAGATGACCCTTAGTCTCCTCTAAGACTCTTCTCAAAGTGAACCTAGGATTTGTTTGGTAAGAACAGTGCAAGAATTGTTAAAAGGCTAATAACAGAATATTGCCATATCCTATCACATTGTTGTTCAAATGATGGTATTACAAGATTTCGGGTGGTACTACAATGAGTATTTGTAATTGCAAAAGTTATTTATCTATTTTGATGGAAAGTAGAACACATGTAATTAGCAGTAAAACTAGGTTATGAGCTTTATATGCTAAATAATACATCATAGGAAAGGCTAAAAATCCTGGATCCCTTTATTAAAAATATTACGTAAATACTAGATATGGTAAAAACTGTAAAGGAAGCACAGAAATAATTTAAGTTTGAGAAATACTGCTCTTTCAAAGTTATTTCAAGTTTATGTGACTGGCTGTACAACAGCATTGCCTTGATTAATCAATGTTTATTATTTATTTATTTATTTGAGTTGGAGTCTCACTCTGTCGCCCAGACTGGAGTGCAGTGGCACGCTCCCAGCCACCACAGCCTCAACCTGCTGGGCTCCGGCAATCCTTCGGCCTCAACCTTTCAAGTAGCTGGAATTACAGATGCACGCTACCACACTCAGCTAATTTTTTGATTTATTGTAGAGATGAGGTCTCACCAAGTTACCCGGGCGGGTCTCGAACCCGCAGGCTCAAGCAAACCACTTGCCTCGGCCTCCCAAAGTGCTGGGATTACAGGCTGAGCCACCAAGCCCGGCCAATGTTTATTATTTAAAAGTTATATATCATAAGACTTATAGGTGAGTAATTTCAGGTTATTGCCTACAGGCTGCCCATGCCTGCAATCCCAGTACTTTGGGAGGCCAAGGCTGGAGACTGCTTGACCCCGGGGAGTTTGAGACCAGCCTGGGAAACACATTGAGACCTCATTTCTACTTTAAAAAAAAAGAAGAAGAAAAGAAAAATAAAAAAGGCTATTGCCTACAGGATTTCTGATCATTTCTTTAAAAATTTTTATATCAGATTTGGAGCATGACTCTTAATATAATCTCATTTATAAAATAAATTGTTTTCACTTTTTATAACCACTCTGGGAATGTGATATACTACTAGTTAAGGTCTAAATTTATTTGGTTTCTATGCATTGGAAGTTTATTTATAAGCTTTTATCCACTATGAATAATTTGATATTGAATGAAATAAAAAGGTCTGATCAAAAGATGTCCTGTATTTATATAGTCATATGGTTTCCCCCACCATGAGTAACGTGCTGCTGAGTAAGTGAAGGACTGTGGCTTAAGATTTTATCACATTTATATTCATATAATTTCTCCCGAGTATGGATTTTCCTATGTTGATTAAGGTGTGCACTCTGGCTAAAGGCTTTCCCACATTCATTACATTTATAGGGTTTCTCTCCCGTATGTGTTCTCTCATGTTGGTTAAGATGTGTCCTCTGGCTGAAGGCTTTGCCACAAAAACTACATTCGTAAGGTTTCTCTCCAGTATGAAGTCTGTGATGTTCTGTAAGGGATGTGATACGGCTGAAAGCTTTACCACATTGATTACATTTATAGGGCTTCTCTCCAGTATGAATTCTCAGATGTTGAGTAAAGGATGAATGTTGACGGAAGGCTTTCCCACATTCATTGCATATAAAAGGTTTCTCCCCCGTGTGAATTCTCTGATGCTGAATAAGATGTATCCTCTGGCTGAATCTTTTCCCACATTCATCACACTTATAGGGCTTCTCTCCTGTAAGGACTATCTGAGGTTGGGTAAGAGATGAGTTGTGGCTGAAGGTCTTTCCACATTTACTGGGTTTCTCTCCAGTACGAATATGATTAGTAAGAAGAATATGTTGATTGAAGATCTTTTCACACTCATTATATTCATAGGGATTCTCTCTTACACAATTTCCCTGATAGTAGATCAAGTCTGAATTATGTTTGATATTATTTCCTTGCATGTCAGAATTAAAGGGTATTTTAATTGAGGAAATTCTCTGATGCATAATATTTGAGTTCAGATTATAGTTTTCTGCAAATTTATTATATTCAGGGCTTCTCTCCTGTGTAATCTTTCTGTGAGAGAAAGATACTTGTCCTAAATGTCTCTGCTGATTTTCTTGGTTAAACTCTAATTGGTAATCAAAATCCCAGAGTCCTCCCAAAATGGAATACCAGAAGCTGTCTCCTGTTAGCCTCTCCATTATCATGTCATGGGTTTGATATTCATCAGAAATATTCTGGTCTGCAGTTGACGTTTTGATTTGGGGTCTGTTTTCTCCATCTAAAAGAAATTCAGAACAAACAAATACTTTCCAATATTCTCTAGGCTTTGAAAAAGAAATTACTGCACAATGAGATATCAAATCAAACCGACAACAATGTATACAAGACATATGTCACATTGAAAGCTTTCAAGCATGGCCATATAACAAGGGAAAGACTGTAAGAGAATGACAAGAAACAGTGAGTAGAAAGAAAATTTTTAAATGTATGGCAATCATAAAAAGAGATTATCCAAGAATATCCATGGTTGCAAGGAGATAGACAGGTGAACAAGAAATATCAGAGAAAGGTATGTGTTCAGAGGTGGGAGACAGAGGAATGACTGTACTTGGAGAAGTCAGGTCTGAGTCCAAGCCGCTAGAAACCTCATCTGTGGATTGTTCTATTGTAATGCCAGCTACTTGTTTATTTTAAAAGTATTTTTCCAATTTTTACTTTTTTATTTTTATTGCTTTAGACTAGAGGCAGACACTTTTTTTTAAAATGGCAAAATTAATACTTGCTGATAGTAACAAATTCAAATAATGTGGCATGCATAAAGAAAATATCTTACCCCTTAGAGGTAATCATTGTTAACAGTTTGGAGTCTCTCTTGTTAGATCTTCCCTATGTTCACACAGATATGTATGTAAACCATATTTTGAACAATCATGATTTATGGATTATGATAACAAAATTTCATTTTGGTCTTCCATAACTTTAAACTTTATTCAGGGGAGATATTCTTCCTCTGCTTTCACATGAAGATTTGAACAGTTTTCATGGCTTTCCCCTTAATTCTTAGGTAACAGATAATCCTGTATTACATTAAATCACAAACACAGCATATATTCTGTAATTAAAATGTTCAGTCATGTGTAATAGTAAAAACTCCAAGATTAATCCAAGTTTCCTCCCCTGGGTCTGTTACAGAAAAAAGTCATGTTCCTTCTTTCCCCCTAATCTGTTCTCTTCCTGTTGATTCCTTCCCCAACTCTACTCTCTCCCTGCTAGTCTCTTCCTTGCCTCTACTCTCCTGCTTATTCCCCCACTTAACTACTTCCCTGCTCACCTCTTCCCTCACTCACTGTTGTTTAGTTCCTAACAAAAGTTGGGGAGTAGGGGCTGTGTGGAAGAAGGAGAGAGATTAAGAGACAGGCCAGTTTTTGTATGGTGGGGTGGCCTCACATTCTCAACTTGGCAGATGATTAAAATGGACTCACTTTGGGGAAATTATATGACTCTTGAGAGGTTCTTGCGAGATGCTCCCATCACCTGTCATTTCCATAATCTAGATAGATAGACCTCTATTTTGGGCATGAGTCCTATTTGACAAGATCCAAAACCATGCTCGCTGACCCATGAGAAACACTCATGATACCTTGCCACAACAAACTTGGGTAGTGTAGACTCATTCTCATTCAATTGCTTCTTCTGGCTCACTCATCAAAGCCATTTAAGTTTTAGGTTTCCAATTATTTTTCTATTTCACATAACAATGCAATGAATACTGTTATAGAAACTTCTTATGGACCTTGAGCTAGTATTCCACTAAGAAAGATAATGTGTAATGCCAGGTCATAGGATTTGCACACTAAATATTCTGATAGATTCTGTATAATTGTTGTCTTTAAAAAGGTTCTACCTTGGTCAGGCTTGGTGGCTCAGCCTATAATCCCAGCACTTTGGGAGGCCGAGGTGAGTGGATTGCCTGAGTCCGCAGGTTCGAGACCCACCTGGGCAACTTGGTGAAACCTCGGCTCTACAATAAATCAAAAATTATTCGGACATGGTAGCACACCTGTAGTTTCAGCTACTTGGAAGGCTGAGGCGGAAGGATTGCTGGAGCCCAGCAGGTCGTCGCTGGGGTGGCCGTGAGCATGCCACTGCTTTCCAGCCTGGGTGACAGAGTGAGACTCTAACTCAAAAATAAATAAATAAATAAAAATAAAAATAGTGGCTGGGCTCGGTGGCTCAGCCTGTAATCCCAGCACTTTGGGAGGCTGAGGCGAGTGGATTGCCTGAGCCCACGGGTTCGAGACCTGCCCGGGCAACTTGGTGAGACCTCGTCTCTACAATAAATCAAAAATTAGATGGGCATGGTAGCACACGCCTGTAGTTCCAGCTACTTGGAAGGCTGAGGCGGAAGGATCGCAGGAGCCCAGCAGGTCAAGGCTGCAGTGGCCGGGAGCGTGCCTCTGCACTCCAGTCTGGGTGACGGAGTGAGACTCCAACTCAAAACAACAACAACAACAACAACAACAACAACAACAAAACAGGTTCTACCTTAAAAATTTTTTAAAAAGGTTCTACCAAATTCACACAACAAAGTGAAATATAGTTCATTTTAACCACATCATTCCTAGTATAAGACATGATAACATTATCATTTTGCCAATTTGATGGCTGAAAAATGGTACCTCATCAATGTTTCAATTTTTACTTATTTCATTATAAGTAAGCTTGAGCATTTTTTCATAATTTGTGGGCTGTTTTATTTTTTCTGTGTATATTTTGGACTTCTTAGGGAATCTTTAGACGTGCTGAAATTGAATACAAAGTTTGTGTGCAAGTATATACGTGCATTTTTATGGAGAGAGAATGATCTTTCATGAGATTCTCAAAGGGGTTCAAAATTTTAAAAAAGTTTAAGAGTCTCTGTTTTAAGGATATTCTAACCAGTGTCTTTGCTAACAGTCTTTTCTCCCATGTCACTATCCAGCTTAATAAAACTTAACTATTCTACCCTAGTCACTGATTTCATCATGTTCATACAACAAAATCTGGTAGCCCCATCTTTTTAAAACTATCTTTAATAAAAAATCAGATTATACATGAATAACAAGGTGTTCTTACTATTTTAATATAATAAATTCAAGATAAATAAATTCATTCATGAAATTATGGGTGAAAAAAGGTCCTAAACTCCCCATCAAGTCATGGATATGGGAACATGTAGAAACCCTGGAAACTCATTATCCATTGTTCACTTTCTTCCTAGTCTGGTTTTACTTGGCTAGAGACCCAATCATTCACTGAAACCTCCAAGACCTTCTTTGTACTTTTGCTTAAGCTCCTTATCAGATCTTTTGCAGTTTACCCCATGCTGTCTGAGATTATAGATAAAGTACTATTTGGGAAGAGACTGTTTTCAAACATGGAAGCAGAAGCGCTTCCCCTGGGTACACTGTGAGAACGACATGAAATCTAATTTGTACCCAAGTCCCAAGTTAAGTGAGTGTAATACCCTAGTCATAGATATAGACTAAGGCCCTCTAGCTTATGGAAGGGGTTAGTCAAGCTTCCATTAATCTTGCAGGCATCTGAGGGCCCTCAAAAAAAAAAATGAGGTTTTGCACAGTAGTCTCAGCATGGCTACTATCTTTGCCTATTATCTGTTCCCACTGACTCCAAATTCCTTGGATCAAATTTAGGGTACTAAATCTTCAATAAAACTGGATTTCTAGGCCACCTATGGGTTCCTTTGTATCTGAGAATGAATACTTTCTAGATAGGCCTTTGGTCAGCATAAGCATATTGTGATGCCACTGGGCAACTTGCCTAACATCTTAGAGGGTCTTCTGCACCAAGGTGTACCTCACCAAGTAGATGTTTCTCCTGCTCAGGTCCATCCATGCCTTTTTAATCAACTTATTTAGGAAGTAGGAAGCAAGGAAACAAGAAACAAAGGAGGACGGGAGAGAAGGAAGGAAGGAAAGAAGGAAGGAGAGAATTAGGGAGAAAAGGAGGGAAAAACACAAATTTTTTGAAAAAATAATCTTTTATACTTGTAAAGCATATGATATTTTGTTTCTCTTTTATTAATTTAAAAATGTATCATGGTTTATAGTGAGTCATATTAGTTTAGTGGGTAGAAATTCAAATTAAAAACTGAAACAGCACAGGCTAAAGAAGAATAGAAAATATCAGAATTCATCAGACACAGTGATAAGGAGAAATATTGTTTGGCAAAACTTTTGTCTCAGTTTTACAGATTATATGCATCTTATCGGTGGCTATACAATGCATTTCTTTTTTTTTTTTTTTTTTTTTTTGAGTTGGAGTCTCACTGTTGCCCAGACTGGAGTGCAGTGGCATGCTCCCGGCCACTGCAGCCTCGACCTGCTGGCTCCTGCGATCCTTCTGCCTCGGCCTTCCAAGTAGCTGGAACTACAGGCATGCACTATCACGCCTGGCTAATTTTTTTTTTTTTATTGTAGAGACGAGGTATTGCTAAGTTGCCCAGGCTGGTCTTGAACCTGCGGGTTCAGGCAATCCACTTGCCTCAGCCTCCCAAAGTGCTGGGATTACAGGCTGAGACACTGAGCCTGGCCTACAATGCATTCTTAATGAGAGTGGGGGTTCAACAGTAAGTTAAAACTATTGAGTTCGTGAGGGTTAACAATCGTTTTCTGTAAAGGGCCATATAGTAAATATTTTAAGTTTAGTGGGCCACATGGTTTCTGTCACAATTATTCAACTCTGCTATTGTAGTGTGAAAGCATCCACAGACAATATGTAAAAGAATAAATATGGCTGTGTTCCCATAAAACTTTCCTTACAAAAACATGTGATTTAGACTATGTTTTGTTCATTTAAAGAGTCTATGATGCCAACCAAGGCATCTGGAAAGGAAGTATACTGATTACTCAAAGACATCTTTATGTTGAATGGTGGCTCATCTTCTACCAGCAATACATGATAGTACTTTTAAAAAAAATTTATTTAGAGTCTCACTCTGTTGTCCAGGCTGGAGTGCAGCGGCACTCTCATGGTAACCGCAGCCTCAACCTGCTGGGCTCAGGCGATCCCTTCCACCTCAGTCTTCCAAGTAGCTGGAACTACAGGCGTGTGCCACCACACCTGGCTGATTTTTCTTGATTTATTGTAGAGACGAGGCCTCATCAAGTTGCCCAGGCTGGTCTCGAACCCCTGGGCTCAGGCAATCCTCTTGCCTCGCCTGCCTAAGTGCTGGGATTACAGGCATGAGCCATGGTATTTAAAATTTTAAACTTTTGTTGCTCTGGTAGGCAAGAAAAGATAATTTATATAGCTTTAATTTTTATTTCTCCTATCATGAGTGAGATTGAACATTTTTTCATATGTTAAATGTATTTAGATTCTTTTATCTAATAACTGCTCATATACTTTATTTTCTTTGGGCTGTTGGCCTATTATTGATTTAAAGGAGTATGTTATATATATATTAATGAGAGACCAGACCTTTTGACAGAAATTAAAAATATTTTCCTCCATTGCTATTTATCTTTTTACTTTATTTATACCATGCAGAATTTTTGGATTTGTGTGTACTGAATATATGAATAATTTCTTTTTTTTTTTTGAGTTGGAGTCTCACTCAGTCACCCAAACTGGAGTGCAGTGGCCGCTCTCAGCCACTGCAGCCTTGACCTGCTGGGCTCCGGCAATCCTTCCGCCTCAGCCTTCCAAGTAGCTGGACCTACAGGCACGCACTACCACGCCCGGCTAATTTTTTTGATTTATTGTGGAGATGAGGTCTCGCCAAGTTGCCCAGACGGGTCTCGAACCCACGGTCTCAGGCAATTCACTCACCTCAGCCTCCCAAGGCATGGGATTATGGGCTGAGCCACCAAGCCCGGCTGAATAATTTCTTTTATGCTTCTGGATTTTGAATCATAGTCAGAAAAGATTCCCCCATTTCAAGGTTATAAAAGATTTCTCCTGTGTGTTTTTCCAGATCTCTTATAGTTTCATATTTTACATTGAAAATCTCCACTCCCCTTGGTTTAAGGGATAAGCTATAGATCCAATGTTATCTCTCTCCTGATGGCTATCCACCATCAGCAACTTAAGAGAGCAGCAAATGTTAATAACATGCCCCAGAGGGCATGCCAGGATTAGATCACACAAATGAGAACATTCTCTTAGTCGCTTGAAAAACTGAAATATTTTTACCACATCTTCTAAGACGAACCACTTGTTGTGTATCACAGGATAACGAAGAAGTGCAAGTAGTTTCCTCAGGGAAGATGGTTAGGCTGCCTGTCCCTGACAAGATGTATGGGGAAAAAATCACTTTTTCAAGCTGATCTGTGAACCAAGAGCTTTGGCCATCCACATATAATGAAATCTGGAAGTTTTAAGTTAGCAATTACTTTTTTCTAGGGACTTAACAGGAGGCAGCGTGGATCCTGCAGATGATAGCATATGTACCTGTGAGACAGAACAGCTCTGCCCTCTGTTGCAGGTTCTTACCCTGGAAATTCACCTGAAAAGGGAGGTTTTTCACTTTCTTCCTTTAGTTTCCTACTTCCCGGGTTCAGGGATTTGGACGGTTGTAGAAATATGTCCCACTGTTGTTAGGAAAAGTTCCAGGGGTTCTTGACAAAATGTCTTAGTTAACAATCTCTACTCATGGAATGTAAGTACTGGTAAGGTCAAAATTCTGGTTCTGTGAGGCTGAAATAGGAACTAGGTTTTCTACCTAAGATAATCTAAGGCACTAAAGCAAGAAGGATAGCCAAGTCGAAGTCAATTTGAAAAAGTTGAAGTTTAAATGACACAAAACCAAGTCCACATAATGAAACCAAGGGCCTGAGCAAGGAATCAGAGTGGGAATTACATAAAGATGGGGTAGGTTAGCCTGGCTTAATGGACCAGAGTGGAATATACCTTACTTGGCATTTGGCAAAGAGTTAGCAGTTGACTATTTGCAAAAATAACCAGGCAGAACATTATAGATGGTACGTGAGCAATAGTACGTGAAATACTGGTGCTAGAAATGTAAAAACAGGAAAACGACACAGAAGGGCTAGTTAAAAGCACTGCACTGCAGAGTGGTGCACCAAGTCCATAGGAGTGCATGTCTTTAGGAGAATAAGGAGGAAGTAAAGGCAGTAAAAGAGCAGGTGGAGATATAGAATAGAAACTAGAAGAGACAAAAATAGTGCACATCACAAGCCAGGGTAGAAGGAAAATTCAGTAAGGTAAGTAAAGTCAACACAATCATAATTGACTTTTTGGCCACTGGATTTGACTGGAAGGAAATTAGTGGTAATCTCCAATAAATCAATTCTAGTAGCACAGGTAGAATAAGCATTATATCACAAAGATGAACAAGAAAATTAGAAATTAGGCTGTGGGACTGGGAGTGGTGGCTCATGCCTGTAATCTCAGCATTCTGGAAGGCCAAGGCAGGAGCACTGCTTAAACCTAGGAGTTTGAGACTAGCCTGGGTAACATAGTGCGACCTGTCCCAACAAAAATAAAAAAAAAAATCAGCTGGTTGTGATAGCACATGCTTGTAGTTCCAGCTACTTGGAAGGCT